AAAAGTGTTATTTTAAGATATTTTCTTTTGTTATTAAGATATATCAACACGTATTATTAATAATTAATTAAAGCATGACCTTAATTTGTTAATTATTTTTCTATCATTCATTAAAAATTATTATTTATAATTAGAATAGTAAAAAACATATCTCGAATAACAATGCTCCATTTTGTTAAACGACTGGAAATATTATTATGTTAATAAGATGAGATTTAATTAATTAAATGTAATATTTTGTGGGGGGGGGGGGGGGGGGAAGTGATAAGTGAAATATAGAAAAGGTTTTTAGGTTACTTTAACATTTTAACGTCGCCATTTACTTTTAGACTGTTTTAACATAATAATAGGTATATATTAGGATCTATTATACATTGGATGAGTACAAATGTAATTAAATTTCTCTCAATTAAGGATGTGGTTCCACATCTTTTTTTGAGATACTTAAGAAACTCAAGGATGCGGTTACGCACCTTGAACAAATTCAAGGATGCGGTTGCGCACCTTGGCCAAATTTTTTTAATAATTAACTTTCATTAATTTAAATCAAGAGGCTTCTAGGTTATTAATATAGTAAGAATAAATTTGCTTTAGTGTTATAACGAATAGTACATCTAAATGCTATCTTCATATCATAGTGCAAGTTGTTTGTCAATCTTATTCATTTTCCTTAATATGTATATGGCATCTTTAACTTGATAGGTGTGCATTTGTTTATTATTTTTATCATCACTTGTTCAATAAATATAAACAATAAAAAAGAATTGGATTAAACATGATAAAGGATATATTTGTTGTAGAACTTTAAACTTATTCTTTTATTTATTTTTATTTTTTTTATTATTTTTAAGATCGTATAGCTTTGTTAAATTATTTTTTTAGTCAAGCTTTAAGACGTGTCGAACTACAAACTAGTTAAGACACATAGTAAAGTGGATTCCAATAAAAATGTGATTCCACATCTTTATGAAAATATTTAAAGATGAGCATAATAATAATAATAATAATAATCATAATAATAATAATAATGAGTTTCCAATAAGAATGTGGTTACACATCTTTTTTGAAACACCTAAAAAATATCTAAGGATGCAGTTATGCACCTTGGACAAATTATTTTAATCGTCAAATTTATTAAATTTAAACTAAAATTTGTAAACTGAGAATATTAGGTGGTGCGCTCGAGAGGGAAAGACAGTTATGTCTCTAAATGTCAAGATCGGGAATGCAGTTATGCATCCGATTTAAGACTAATAAAAAATTCAACAATAAAAATAATAATAATAATAATAATAAGCAACCCATGGCCTGTAGACATAATATATCCAAAAATAGTAACAAATAAGTATAAGTCAAGAAAAGCGATCGTGCTAGAACCACGAGACTCGAGGGATGCCTAATACCTTCCCCTCGGTCAACAGAATTCCTTACCCGAATTTCTAGTTCGCAGACCATCTAAAGAGTCATTTCCTTTTGATTAGGGATTAAACAAAAGGTGACTTGGAACACCATAACTCAATTCCAAGTGGCGACTCTGAAAAAATAAAATAATCCCTAAATCAATACCGTCACTTAAATTGGAAAAACCCTTCCGCCGCCGTCGCGAAAAGGGGTGTGACAAGAAGTAACCAATAACAGTGAACTCCTCATAAAGGAGTTAGTTATTCATATCAGTAGATCCCTACTCGAGGGATATCAGTAACAGTATACTAGTTCTACCTTCCCACTAGCAAGGGCTTTATCAGTAATCAGAACTACAAGGTGCACCAGGTCTAACGAACCCGCCGTTAGCTATGGGATTCATCAAGGTCTACTCCCATTTATATTTTTCTTGTAATAAGTAAAAACAATTCAAAATCGAACAGAGCATTTAAATCTTATCAAATCATATCATTTCAAAGTTTAACAATCACCTGTCAAAATACTATTTCTCAAATAAGTATAAAGCCTTTTCAATATCAGTAATCATATCTTATAAGAATGAGATCATCTCAAATAATCTTTTCAGTATCATATCCAGTAAAAGACTTGTCCCACATGCAAGTTCAAAACATTCGATAACACATTTACTTTATAAACCATGTGAAAGTCATGCAAGTTATAAAACATCAATTGTGGTAAGATTACTACTCACAGTACTTGTGTTGAGTTACCAAGTTTGCCACTCAATTACTCCGTACGAATTCCTTTGGTCAATCTATAATCACATTCATAATAATTTCGTGTTAACTCCTTCATTTAGGTAATTCATACTACATTAAAAAAACCCAGCCCTAGAGGTTTCATGACTGATTCGAAATCTGCCCAATCACTTAATTAGTGCTTTAATCACACACATTAGTCTCTTCTTGGTCGATTCTCGCTATAAAAAGATCAACCTAACCTTACTGCCCAATTACTCTTATTGTATATAAGCCCAATACCAAAGTTTATAGTTCAAATCATTGACTATATTCACTTGGTTCATAAGAATGAAATAAATTTCCTCTTTTTCTTCTATACTGCCCAATTACTCTTATTGCATATAAGCCCAATACCAAAGTTTATAGTTCAAATCATTGACTATATTCACTTGGTTCATAAGAATGAAATAAATTTCCTCTTTTTCTTCTAAACCCATGTTTCTCAACTTCCCAATTCCCAATTCCCAATCTTATAGTCATGGAAGATACAAATTCAACCTTTAGACTAAGTTAAGAAACTTACCTTTTTCTCGTTCTTCTTCTTCTTCCACCTCTCTCTTTAGTTTGAGAGCTAAGGCTTTCAATTTAAATTTAAGTTTCTCCTTCGTTCCTTCGCTCACTAGAACAAGAAGAGTCCCTTTTTTTTTTCTTTTGATCCCTGAAGTTGCAGCGTTGCTGCTGCTTCTGTTAGGGCTTTCAGCCCCTTTTTTTTTAAAAAAAATTTTGATCTTTTTTTTTAAAATAAGAGCTAAATGACAATTATGCCCTTATTTTAATATAGGGTATTACATTCTCCCCACCTTAAGAAATTCGGTCCCCGAATCTAAAGTAAGTGTATACCTGTAGACTGAAACAAGAGAGGATACTTGTCTCGCATATCCTTTTCCAACTCCCAAGTAGCTTCTTCAGTGGTATGGTTCCTCCATAAGACCTTCACGGACACAATTTGTTTTGACCTTAACCTTCTTGCTTGTTTGTCCACAATAGCCACAGGTTCCTCTTCATACGTTAAGTTCTCATCAATTGGTATAGTCGGTGCTTCAAGTACATGAGAGGAGTCTGAGATATACTTCCTCAACATAGAAACATGGAATACTGGATGGATGAAAGACATGTTGGGAGGCAGTGCCAAACGATACACCACTCCTCCTACCCGGTCAAGTATCTCATATGGTCCTATATATCGCGGACTCAATTTACCTCTTTTGCCGAACCGCATCACACCTTTCATAGGAGAAACTCGTAGAAAAACTTTGTCCCCAACCATGAACCCTAGATCTCTTCTTCTCTTATCCGCATAAGACTTCTATCTACTTTGAGCTGTGAGCAATCTCTGCCTAATCAACTGGACCTCATCCACGGCTTCTTGTACTAAGTCTGGTCCCAACACATTGGCCTCTCCAACTTCAAACCAACCTATAGGAGACCGACATCGCCTTCCATACAAGGCTTCATATGGAGCCATCTGAATGCTGGACTGAAAGCTATTGTTGTAGGCAAATTCAGCTAAAGGCAAGTAAGCATCCCAACTACCTCCAAAATCAAGAATGCAAGCTCTCAACATATCCTCTAAGATTTGAATAGTACGCTGAGACTGCCCATCTGTCTGTGGATGGAATGCAGTACTAAGGTCTACTCGAGTACCCAAGGCTTCTTGAAAGGATCTCCAAAAGCGTGAAGTGAATTGTGACCCTCTATCAGATATGATAGATATTGGCACTCCGTGAAGTCGAACAATTTCATTCATAAATATTTGGGCATATTTCACTCCACCATAATTAGCCTTTACCGGTAAGAAGTGTGCTGATTTTGTTAATCGGTCTACAATTACCCATACAGAGTCATAACCTCTGAGAGTTCGGGGTAGACCAACCACAAAATCCATGGTGACTCTTTCCCATTTCCACTCTGGAATTTGGATCTCTTGTATAATCCTGCAGGTCGTTGATGCTCTGCTTTAACCTGTTGACAAGTCAAACAACTAGAAACAAAATTAGCAATATCTTTCTTCATACCTTCCCACCAATTCAACTGCTTCAGATCATGATACATCTTAGTGGAACCAGGGTGCATAGTATACCTAGAGTTGTGAGCTTTTTCAAGAATAACTCGTCTTAACCCACCTATGTTTGGTACACACAACCAGTTACCTAGTCGAAGCATACCAGCACCATCAACCATCATCTGCTCACTTTTACCAGTTGTGACCTCATCTCGATATCTGCAAAGTTGTTTATCCTCATATTGAGTAGTTTTAATGCGCTCTACTAATGAAGATTTGGCTTGCACACAAGCTAACAATATCTCTGAATTTCCCACACTAAATCTAATACCTGCGCCTTCAAGTTTCTGGACATCCTTTGCCAACTGCCTCCTTTCAGGAACTATATGTGCTAAACTGCCCATAGATTTTCTACTCAATGCATCAGCCACAACATTAGCTTTTCCAGGATGATACAAAATAACACAATCATAATCCTTGAGTAGCTCCATCCATCGTCGCTGTCGAAGATTCAGGTCTCTCTGCTGAAAGATATACTTTAAGCTCTTGTGATCAGTATATATCTCTCAAGTTTCACCGTATAGATAATGCCTCCAAATTTTAAGAGCAAATATCACTGCAGCCATCTCCAAATCATGAGTAGGATAGTTTTGCTCGTGCCTCTTCAGCTGTCTCGAAGCATAGGTAATAACACGACCATTTTACATCAGAACACATCCTAACCCAACTCTCGAAGCATCACAAAATACCGTAAAACCTCCAGAACTTGATGGTAAGGACAATATAGGTGCTGTTGTCAAACACATTTTAAGTTTCTAGATGCTTTGCTCACATTCTTCTGTCCACTGAAATTTAGCATTTTTCTGTGTCAACTTAGTCAATGGAGATGCTATTTTGGAGAAATCCTGCACAAAACGCCTGTAGTAATTTGCCAAACCCATAAAGCTTCGAATTTCTGTAGGCGAAGTAGGTCTGGGCCATTTTTGCACAGCTTCTGTCTTTTTGGAATCCACCTTGATCTCATCTTTGGACACCACATGCCCCAAAAATACTACTGAGTCTAGCCAAAATTCACACTTTGAGAACTTAGCATAAAGCTTATGTTCTCGCAAAGTCTGTAACACTGTCTTTAAATGACTCTCATGTTCTTCCTGGCTACGAGAGTATACCAAGATATCATCAATAAAAACTATCACAAACCTGTCTAGAAACGGCCGGAACACTCTATTCATTAAATCAATGAATACAGCCGGCGCATTGGTTAATCCAAAAGGCATCACAAGGAACTCATAGTGTCCATATCGAGTTCTAAATGCTGTCTTGGAAACATCTTCCTCCCTGATTCTGAGTTGATGATAACCAGACCGAAGATACATCTTTGAAAAGTGGACAGCCCCCTGTAATTGATCAAATAGGTCTTCTATACGAGGTAAATGATACTTATTGTGTATCGTTACCTTGTTCAACTGTCTGTAGTCGATGCACATTCTTAGAGACCCATCTTTCTTCTTTACGAACAATACTGGTGCGCCCCATGGAGATATACTTGGTCGGATAAAACTCTTATCGAGTAAGTCTTGAAACTGTTGTTTTAGTTCCTTTAGTTTTGCTGGTGCCATACGGTATGGGGGTATGGATATTGGCAATGTATCAGGAGCCAAATTAATACCGAAGTCTATCTCTCGTATAAGAGGTAATTCTGGCAAATCCTCAGGAAATACATCAGAAAATTCATTCACCACGGGTATCTTCTCCAAGCTAAGTGTTCCTTCTGTTGTATCCCTTACCATAGCTAAGAGACCCATACAACCTTTCTGTAGTAACCTTCGAGCCTTCATAAGGGATATGATTTTTCCAACCTCGGGGACTTGACCCCCTTTTAATACAAATGTAGGCTCATCAGGTATTTCAAATTTGACTATCTTTGCATGACAATCAACAGTAGCATAGCAAGGAGATAACCAATCAATGCCCATCAACACATCAAAATCAATCATATCAAGTACAATTAGGTTAGCTAGAGTATCCCTACCCTCAACTCTTATCTGACAATCACGATACTCATATTTAACTAACAAGGAATCCCCCACAGGAGTAGAAACAAGAAAATGATGATTCAACATCTCTGGTTGTCTATCAAATCTCAAAGCAAAGTATAAGGGCACATAGGAGTGGGTAGATCCTGGATCAATCAAAACATGTGCATCAAAGGAACAAACTGAAAGAATACCTGTAACCACCGCATTTGAGGCCTGAACATCCTGTTTAGTAAGTGCAAAAACTCTTGACTGACTTCTACCGGCATTCCCTTGTCCATGATTTCCAGTGAAATAATCTCCAACACCTCTACCTCTATTTCCTGTACCTGTATTACCTGAACCATTATGAGTGGTCTGAGCAGGTGCAGCTATCTGAGTAGAAGTCTGTGTGGGGTTTCTCGGAGGTAGAGGGCAATCTCTAATGCGATGCCCCAACTGACCACACCGAAAGCACCCTCCAGTGACAACACGACACTGGCCTACATGTGATTTACCACAAGTCTGGCAGGAGGGAGCAGTGGCATACATTTGTCCAGAATTACGATGTCCCTGTGCTGATAAAACTGTATCTATCCCTGTCTGAGAGCCCTGCTGTTGTCTTCCCTGATTCTCTGTTCTGTGATTTGCACCCAAGTCGCCGCTGTAAGATCCCCCTATCTTGGCCTTCTTACGTACATCATAGGTTGCACGCTCCTCTCGACCCTTATCTTCAATCTTTCTAGCTAGATCAACTGCTTCTGAATAGGTCATGATACTCATATTTGGGGCTAGGGCATTGAATAGACGACTAACCAACCCATGCACGAACCTCTGAACTCTATCTGCTTCTGTAGGTACCAACAAAGGAGCATATCTAGCGAGCTTACAAAATTTGGCGTTATAAGTTGCCACATCCATATCTGGAGTATGTACTAACCTCTCAAACTGTGTTGCATACTTCTGCCTCTGACTGTTAGGAAGGAAATTATCCATGAACAACTTAGTGAATTCATCCCACTTCAGTGGTGCTGCCCCAGCAGGTCGACCTAGCAATACAATTTCATACCAAGTGTTAGCCATGTCCTCTAGTTTGTATGCTGCTAGCTCCACCGATCTCTCGCTAGAACATCCTAGAGCCCGGAGGGCCTTAAATGTCCCATCCAAGAAGCTTTGAGGATCCGCTGAACTATCAAAACCTATGAATTTTGGTGATTTCAATTTCAAGAATTCCTGCAAGGATACCTCTTTATTCCCAAAAGTATAAGTCCGTGCAGGTGTCTGAAGTGGTGCATGTGTCTGAGTAGCAGCAACACTATGCTGACCATCCCTCTCCTGTCTATCCATTCTATTGACCAAACTCTCTATGGCTTTCTGCATGGAGGCAAGTACCCCAGCAGTAGCATTCTCCTGCGATGTCGGAGGTGGACTAGCGCTCCTTTTCGGAGTGACCTCTCTTGAAGTCCTAATAGTGGTGTTGCGGTTCCCTGTGGTAGCATTACGAACCTCTCCTCGACCAGTTCTGTGGGCTCTGTCCCTTCCCCAAGTTGAGGAAGTTGGCTGCCTAGCCGAAGTGACATTAGGCGCCTCAAAAACACCTGTTGTAGCTCTGCCATTAGATAATCGGGTTCGAGCCATCTGGTTATCAGAACGAATAATGTTAGATTAATCTAGTTGGCCCTAAACGTCACACACATAAGCAGGAATGAGAAAGAAAAACAAGACACATCCTATCACGTCCTCGCAGAATCATGATTATAGAAATGGCTGGCAACATAACCATAATTGAGATTCTACTACTAACGTGTGCTCCATAGGTTCTAAGAATAAATGGCTCTGATACCAACTTTGTCACAACCCAATTCAGGATCATGACCGGTGCTAAGGGGGAGAATCCCAAAGCAAGCCTCACCAGAATTCTACTCCAAATTTCGGAAAAAAAAACCAATTCATCTCCAAATTTCGGAAAAAAATTTCCAAACTAGTCACTTGACTATAATTCGAAGGACTAATCTTGACTCAAATCAAAAGAATGACAAATGGAGCAATTCTAAGAGTTTTTAAAAGAAACTAAATAAACATAACAAATCAATAGTTCTCTTGCCACGCGAAGCAATGCGGGGCTCACCAGATGCTACTAACTCACACGCTAGTTAATGGAATCCTCTTCAATACCACTTGAATTCTCTGTAAAAACAAATAGCGAGGAGTGATACGCTAGCTCAGTGAGTAATAATACTTAACCACAACCATTTTAATGAGGGACAAGTCAGAAAGCATGCTAGTGTAATAGTCATGATGATGAAACAATGCTCTTTCAGAAACAATAACAATATTCAACCTTAGGTGCCTCATATAAGCAAAATCAATGTAAATACATAATAGCAAACTCAGAAAAAGAATATTTTCATATCAAATCTTATAGCTGGGAGGTTTCCAAGGATGAATCTTGTAATCAGTGTGGTCTTCTCCTTAAGAAGTAACCAATAACAGTGAACTCCTCATAAAGGAGTTAGTTATTCATATCAGTAGATCCCTACTCGAGGGATATCAGTAACAGTATACTAGTTCTACCTTCCCACTAGCAAGGGCTTTATCAGTAATCAGAACTACAAGGTGCACCAGATCTAACGAACCCGCCGTTAGCTACGGGATTCATCAAGGTCTACTCCCATTTATATTTTTCTTGTAATAGGTAAAAACAATTCAAAATCGAACAGAGCATTTAAATCTTATCAAATCATATCATTTCAAAGTTTAACAATCACCTGTCAAAATACTATTTCTCAAATAAGTATAAAACCTTTTCAATATCAGTAATCATATCTTATAAGAATGAGATCATCTCAAATAATCTTTTCAGTATCATATCCAGTAAAAGACTTGTCCCACATGCAAGTTCAAAACATTCGATAACACATTTACTTTATAAACCATGTGAAAGTCATGCAAGTTATAAAACATCAATTGTGGTAAGATTACTACTCACAGTACTTGTGTTGAGTTACCAAGCTTGCCACTCAATTACTCCGTACGAATTCCTTTGGTCAATCTATAATCACATTCATAATAATTTCGTGTTAACTCCTTCATTTAGGTAATTCATACTACATTAAAAAAACCCAGCCCTAGAGGTTTCATGACTGATTCGAAATCTGCCCAATCACTTAATTAGTGCTTTAATCACACACATTAGTCTCTTCTTGGTCGATTCTCGCTGTAAAAAGATAAACCTAACCTTACTGCCCAATTACTCTTATTGCATATAAGCCCAATACCAAAGTTTATAGTTCAAATCATTGACTATATTCACTTGGTTCATAAGAATGAAATAAATTTCCTCTTTTTCTTCTAAACCCATGTTTCTCAACGTCCCAATTCCCAATCTTATAGTCATGGAAGATACAAATTCAACCTTTAGATTAAGTTAAGAAACTTACCTTCTTCTCGTTCTTCTTCTTCTTCCACCTCTCTCTTTAGTTTGAGAGCTAAGGCTTTCAATTTAAATTTATGTTTCTCCTTCGTTCCTTCGCTCACTAGAACAAGAAGAGTCCCCTTTTTTTTTCTTTTGATCCCTGAAGTTGCAGCGTTGCTGCTGCTTCTGTTAGGGCTTTCAGCCCTTTTTTTTTTTTTAAATTTCTGATCCTCTTTTTTTTTTTTTTTTTTTAAATGAGAGCTGAATGACAATTATTCCCTTATTTTAATATAGGGTATTACATATACTGAGTTGATACCCTTCCTCACAAATGATGATCAACTGGAACACTTACATTTCAGTGGTTTCTTGGCCAGATGTAAAGTGCCTAACTTTTTTTAAGTCATTTTTTTATTTTTTAAAAGTTATTTTTTATATTTGCCAAACACTTAAGCCAATTCAAACACTCTCTTAATTCTAGATTTTTATTTTTACTTGTCACTTTTAACATATCAAGAAAAGATAATTATTTTTTTCATATTTTACCCTCAACATTAATTACATACTTTTTAATTCAAAATGATTTTCTAGATTTCTTATTGTTGAATCGCCACTCCTCAACTCTTCTCTTCTTTTTTTGGGCCATTTTTCTTTTATATATCTTTCATTTTTTGTATTAAAAATAAAATAAAATATTAAAATAGATACAAAATCTTTGATTTTAGGGTTTTTAATTCAAATACAAAAGGTATAGTAATAATATTTTTAAATAAAAATCAAACGATTCTTCCGCCTTTGTTTATCACTTGATTAGCGGTCTTTCTATCTTGATCCACACATCGGAAAGTTTCAATTTTTATGTTTAATTATTTTATTAAAGATAAAGTGAACATTTTAAAATTTAAAAAAGTATTTCACCTAATACTTCTTTATAGATGTTATTTTTAGTGTTTGTTTTGTTTATCCATTTAAATTGATATTTCATAACCATAACTTTTGTTGTCACCATTTATATTACTCTTCCTCGGTTTTACTTTATATGATGTGGTTTGACTTAATACAAATACACAAACTGTTGCACATTCATTTATTGGGTATAAAATTCACAAATTACTCCCTATGTTTCATATTAATTGTACACTTATCCTTGTAGTTTCACCTTAAATCCGGAGGGACAATAACTATGCAATATTTTAACAAAAGCCTAGCCGCATTATTGAATTTACAAACCAATAATTTGATTTATTTTTATATAATAAAAATTTATATTTGTTATTATTATTATATATTTTACTTCTTTCGTCTAGCTTAATTTATATAATGTTATTAAATATATACTAGTATATTTGGGCGTGCTATGCACGGATTAAAAGAGCGGAGAAAGATAACAAAAATAAGTAGGGGTGTGCATCAATCAGTTTGGTTCTATTTTTGTATTAACGGTTCGGTTCTTGGTTTTTAAATATACTAACCCAATAACAAACCAATAAGATATTTTTTATCGGTTTTTGGTTGTTATCGGTACGGTTTTCGATTTACCCAATAAGAAAATGACTATATAAAATATTATATGACTTCTCACTTCTCTAAATGCTTTGATATAGTGATACAAGAAAGATAATGAGAAATTGCATCAATAAGAGAAAATATAGTGCGAAGGCTATAAGTACATGTCACCTCCAAATCATAGTATGAAATTTCTGATGTTAATCAAATTACAGACCTTTACAAACTTGCAAACGTTACAACCTACCATTACAAACTAAAACTAAAATCAAATAGTCCAACAAGACTAAAACTAAAACTACAATCAAATAGCTACAATTGCAAACCCTTACTTTAGTCTTTAGGTTTTGAGTAAAAAGTAAAGACTAAAGCGGCCTAGTGTGAAGTGGGTAGAGAACTGATAATTTGATATAGTTATAGTTTCTAGTTATATATTAAATAATTAATATTTAATATTTAAGAAGGGTAAAGTTGCCACGCCCTGAGCCTACATCCTGGGCGGGACTGACACACAAGAACCATTGCTGGCCCTAAGCGAACCCTCAGCCTGGCTTAACTCTTAGTGGAAGACTTATATAACAATAAAACAGTCTCAAAAGATAAACTCATGCAATAAACTTAGAATGTCTTAAAAGAAACATTCAACTAGCCCATATGGCAACTCAAGTCTCAAACATCAAAACTGAAATGGAAAGACTCAAGAACTAACATCAACTAACTGTCTATGAAGCCTCTAACAACTGAGATGGACGTCGAGAGAAGATCCACGATATCCTAATGAACTAAACGGATAAAACAATAAAAAGAGATCCTCCGGAAGCAAGGAGGTTCACCAACAACTCTGAATCTCAACTGGATCAACGATGTGCTGGATGTTGATCCTGGTTACTTGTATCTGCATCATAAAATATGTAGGCCAAATGGCATCAGTACATTGAATGTACGAGCATGCGAGAGGAATACTAAAACAAGACATAAGCTTGAAAGGAGCTGAAGGAACATACCTGGTCTCAACTCAACTCATTTCAATATAAAATAATAATATAAATGCAATATAAAGAAAAGCTTTTAAAACATGGATAACAACTCTGTGTATTGAATAATACAACAATAACTTAGTTTTTATATGAAAATACAAATAACATTGTGAATGTAGAATACAAAATATTTCTGTGGGAGTTTCTCTAACCGACAACCGTCACTATGAGCTATGTGATGATACAACGTTTTCCCTCACCCTGCAAGGGAGGTCCTATACCTTGCTTGGGGTATAGAACCTAACTGCTAAATGGATCCACTAGTCTATGCTAAAAAGCACTAAGGAATCATCTAAAAAGTATGACCCTTTTCTACCCATGTTAGCTACACGGTTTATGGAGACCATGAATTATCTGAACTCAACTTGTCCCCAAATCGGTGCTCAATACTACTTCCAAAAATGTAACTAGCTCAAATGTTTAAAAAAACATAATTCTTTCTGTGATTTGAGATAATTGCTCAAAAACTAGCCCAAAGGGTCTCTTGGAAATTAGTGTTTCCTCTCTTGCTTAAATGTGAAAATATTTACTCTTTACTCAAAAACTAGCTCGAAGGCTCTTTTGAAAATTGGTGTTTCCTCTCTTGTTTAAATGTGAAAACATTTACTCTTTGGGAATACATAGTCCCCATACTCTTTTGAAGAAAATGAACTTCATTTGTTACTCTTTACTTAACTCAA